TCCGGACTCATACACAACGAAGAAACCCCGAACAAAAGGTTATTTCTGGGACCAAGGAATAAAGAGAAGTTAGACCGTTGTCTCACCCGCCCCTTTCACAGATTAACATCGTCATTCCGTGCTCATGACTATTTCGAAATAAAACAAAACTAGGTTACGACGGTTGACTTGACTAGGTTACCGACACACTTTTTTCCTTTCGATATTAGGTACAACCTATCTTATACGGTTAAATTTATGTTTTTTATTGAATTCCCTGTTGAAACTTACGAAAAAAGAAAAAAAAAAAGAATTACGTAACCGTATTTTCTAGCCTAGCCTCTTTTTAGCCATAGCCGTTAACAGTTTTTAGTTTACTAGCTCTTAGCCCAGCCTCGTTTTTTTTTCCACTAGCCCTGTAGGATTGTAAATTCACATAAGTATACATAAATTCATAACATCGAACCCGCCGGCCGTGATACTCTCCGGGACTCAAGTTCATCCTATCCGAACCTCCCTTTTTTCTTGTGTTGGTTTGTTGGAAACTCTCCCAATTTCTCTCCATACACTAAAACTTGCCGTCGTCGGTCCTTTTTTATTACGATCCGAAGAAAAACCAGTGCGGGAAATTTTATTCTCCAGAACGTTGCTGAGGACCAAGAGTGACCCCGACGTGCTAACCTCTTTTATTGCTCTATGGGAGTACAAAACTGACATAACGTTAATTCGTTATGTACCTAGAAAACAATGTAGTAACAAGATAAATAGTAACTGTCTTATATAAGTTCTTACTAGTTACCACAATTTTTTACTATGTTAATAAATAAAAATAACGTTTATAGCTAAAACGTCAAAACCAGTTTAACATCTACTTAACACGTTTGTCACCCGAGTCAGACATCCCTGAACCGAGAAACTTGCGTCTTCCCAGTCGACAAGTGCAGGCGTTTAGCCACGACGCGTGACGAGCTCATCAGAAAAAAAAAAAAAATTTTCCTACCAATTTACCCGCTCCAGGTTAAAGCGACACACGATCATTGAGTGCACGTACATGTGACACACTGTCTGATTTCTCCCCAAAAGTAGAGCGTTAAAGAAGGAGGAAGTTGGATCAATGCAGTGAAACATGACGAAGTATATTCGCTACAGGTGCGAGACACACTACCGAAAAGCTGGCAAGATAGCCCTTGTATAAAGTACAAGACGGACTAGTCATTCTTTTATTGTATCCCGATTTGTATAGAAATTCGTAATGATTGTGTTTTTATCGTTAAATTTTACGAGACTATATTATGCGCAAAAATTAAGAAGGACTCTCATACACTTTCTATTATTTATACACTGCGATTTACAACAACACCAAAGTCTGGGGTGAGTGCGACAGCACTTCGACTAAGCCTACTCCTGCTACAGAGGCCCGACCTAGAGACGGCCGTCGCTCAGCGTTCCCGGCACCAGCTGCTCGTCGTACTCATCGTCGGAGGAGAGAGTCTCGGTCTACTAACCGCGCGACCATCAAGTGTAACCTGCCGTAATACCACACAACAGAGGGACCGGAATTGTTACTCCCTTTTCATCGTAAATTCTAAAGTAACAAATAGGTAAACCACTTATATACCCCGTCTACTTTGATTACCTATAGGTGATCTAACCTCGAATATCTCGATTAAAGATTAAGTGGAAGAATTCATCTCATTTTGTAGGAAAGAGTTGGAAAGTTCCCTCGTCGTGTGAGGTGTTAAGAAAATAGAGGGTTCATAATTTGCCGTAGTTCTCCCCGACAAGTTCCTTTCTCTTGGTTAGTTTAATTTAACCTAAAATTCCACTATAAACATTAAATACGAGCGAGAGAAGAAGACAAAATATCGACCGAACTGACTTAATATAAACAACAGTTTTAACTTGATTTGACCGAAGGACAAATAAAAAAGAAATATATAAACAACGGAACATTAAATAAACTACACTAAAATAACATATAAATTAATTTACATAATAGCAACTTAGTCCCGATACTTTTGGTGATTGTCAATTATTTAATAAATGCCTTTGTATACCGTCAGCTCGCATAACAAGCTGTGACGAGATCTAACTCCTTTTTCGCAACCTGGATGTTTTTGTTTGGTGGAAGGCATCCACACAGTTGCATAGCGAGTCAGGAAGGGAGGTCCTATAGTCCTAGTAGTTCCGCCTTGTCGGTGAATAGGGGTTAGATTTCGATTTCGTTTTTATTCTTCAGCAATTATTTGTTGATGTAACATTAATAATCGGTTGTGAAGGAAAAACACACGGTAAATATTTTTGTTATTTATATGTGAAAACGTTTCAAACAAAATAACATGTCACATGCTGACATCTGGCTTAACGTCGTTCTCGATTTTTGTGTTGTTTATATATAGTTTATACTCCAAAACTTTTTCGTTACATTGTGTATAAGTTTATTCAGAGTTATGGTTTCACTTTTGACTTAGGTCCCTACTATATCACACTAAATCAAGGATTCCCTCATCCTAGAACAAACATATGTGGTTTCGTACTTTTTTAATGAGGTCATAAAGAATAAACCGTAAGTTCATTTATGAACTCATTTTGTAATTTTGCTATTAGTGAAAATTGACTAGGGTTCACCCCTTTTCACATTTTCAACGACGTCGTCGTTTTCCTTGTCTGTCTTTTTTACTTTATGGTTAACACTTGTAACACACTAAATACTGTTCGCGTCAGTTGACCTTTGCGCACAGTCAGGAGTACATCCGATTATTTTTCGTGTGTTAACAATATTGTATTCGATGCGATTAAACTGTAATATACTTATAAGACGGGTAATTCGGCGGATGTCGTGTTCCCAGCGAAATATATTCGTTTTACGTCACGCTCTCCGTTACGTGTATATTGGTTTATCCGATATCATATATACACATGTATGAAAACTATACGCCGTGCACAAAGATAGTCGAGAAAAACACTTTTACACCACCTCGCAACACACGAGAAACAAATACATAAACCAAATACGTCTGACAGTCAACGTGAGGAGGGGACTGGGTGAACGGTCGTCGTATGCGACTCTACCAAGTTGCAATCGTTAACAATACAATCTGAACATAAGACTTGAACATGGTCATTTTTGTTTTGTAAAATTGAATACAACATTTAAAAAAAAAAAAAAAAAAAATCCCGATTCCCCGATTTTTTTTCTCCCGATTCCGATCTTTTGAAAATCACATGATCGGCTCCGATCCCCGATCACGTGATCGGACCGGGACATCTCTACTTAAATGTCATTCTGTAATGACTGTACAGGTGGTGTATTGCACAACAAATCAAATATCCTTCCACCCATCTCGAGACAGGATTGTCCAGATAGCTGAGTGACAAACAGGGAAGGACTTAGGTTTGCTTCTTTCTCAAACCAATATTTGTTCACTTTTATGTTCAGTGGGAAGGATTATTACCTTTGCCTGATGTTTTGTTGGATTTCTAAGTGTCTTAATTTGATCAAGGCTTCAGTGAGAATAAAACAAATGCTGTCACTGTTTTGTTCTCTGGAAACATTTGACACCAATACATGTTACAGAGATATTTTTGTCGTCACGGCTACTTCCTGTCTGTGTCATGTTTCATTTTGTGTACCACTTTCTCTGAGAGCTTCACCCTTCAGCTCTCATTCATTCAATTCACTGAGCTTGTAGCCACTACCACGTTATAGTGGGTAACACTGTGTGAGATCTTCTTCCACATGATTACACACTTTCCTTCACTTATTTTCAAGTTGACTTTTGGAAATGACTGTAATTATAGTTTGCTTTGACATTGCTGTTATTGTTAAACAGGTTGACTAATGCCTCTTTATTTAAACTGTATTAACTCCCGCTATTCATATTTTCGAAGACTTGAGTTGCAACAAAATGAACACAGTTTAATATTTTAGTTTTTTGGTCACTAAAACCCCTCGCTCATTCTTCCTGCGAATGTATTTCTTTTTCATTGACATGGGAAAGCATACTATCTCCACAGTGTCTGACCTCCAGGCATTTACATCTATACTTAATGTGTAGCATTACCCTGTGGGAGTGTGAGAGTCTCTCTGTTAGCTGACTTAAATAACTCAATATGTGCGGTGAGAGGTGCTGTGTCAGTGGGAAGACTTCTGTTACCAATGAGTCACCACACAGCTGGCTGAATGGAGAAAACCGTCGAACTGCCTTCCCTCAGTGGTGTCAGTGTGTTCCCTCGCTTACGACCGCCTGCGGCTTTGCGTCTATTAGTGAATAGCTCCTCTGCCAACATTAAGCACGGCCCATTTATCAGAAATGAGGAAGTTGTGTTTTGTTGGGACTTGTTCAGACTTGTCCTGCAGCATGTGACGGCAAGTTTGTAAAGGCCTTTCTTGTATCAACATGTCTCCAGTGCTTATTTGTTTTCTGTGTACTGCTAGCCATACCCTCTTTTAGTGCTGCTAGCTCTATGCCAAACATCACTGTCTCACAAGTTTTACGCTTGACTTAATTTATCTTGTTTTAATTTGACATCAAACACATTTTCATGTCACCATCTCATTTGGAGAATTTAGCGAATGTATGCGAGTTGTAACAATAAACTAAAACACATAACTTAGAAGTAGCTCGTCAACAAAAACACATTTAATTCAACATGGGTGCAAGGATACACTCCAATGATGTGACTGTGTTGCAGTGTGTATGCTTAGTAATCCATTGTATATCCTTTTTGCATTTTAAGAATATTTTAAATATTTCATAATTAAAGGCTGTGGGAGCCATTCAGTGC